GATCTCTAAATAATGTTTACAATGAATTAATTAATTAATAATTTAGTCTGTAAATGTCAGAAAATGGATAAAAATGTTTTCCAGAGACTATAGTGCTCTCTTCAACAATTTACAAAGATGTAAAACAGAGAAAAGGATCAAAGACTCACATTTGTAAAGCCTGAACCAGCACGTTTCATGTTTCTGCTTACTTCATTACTCACACTGTTTGTTCGTTGGTTTTTTTATGATGTGTAGTTAGCAGAGATATGTGTCCAAATACGCATTCACGCACCAACACCACACACAGGAGACCACACACACGAGGCCGCCACACGACCACACACACAGCCACAACCGTAAACTGTTTGTGGTTTGTAATGTCTGTTGAATTTAATTCTACTGTTGCAGTCAATCAGCTGAAGGCCTAAAATGTATATTTCAGACAAAATAAGAATTAAAAAAGTGTGTATGAAGGTTTTTTACAAACTGTACATTTACATTGTAGACATTTAGTCACTGCTCCTATTTGAAATGCCTCGCTGTTAGTGAGCCACATTTCTGTTTGTGTTACATATGTGTGCTGCCTGGGAACGAGTCACAGATCTTTCTTTAACTCGGTGTCATGACCTTCTGTGAATTATAAGCATTCATATTATAATACAGCCTTACTTTAAACTGCCAAGCAGAAACGCCCGTTCATAACTCATCACATTGCTTTTTCATTCATAGAAAAACCACCCCCCCCCTGCTGTTGCTTACCACTACATTAACATGTCTTTTTTTCCCCCCTGCTAACCCAAAACCACCACGTCAAGGGTTTCTTTCCCTCATCATGATTTACCGCCATCTATCAGCCGCCCGGCAGCCCAAGCATAGCTGTGCTTATACTGTCAGGGTAACCACCGAGTTGCAAGCATAGCTGTCGGAACCCGAGAGCCCCATCCTGCGTTGTTATTGCACTGCATAATTGTATCTTAAGAGCTGACCCCCTCGGAGTCGAGCTCAAGTGAAATGTGCAAATGCCTCCAGTGAAAATGGCTTGTTTTTGCAGCGAAGATGATTGAAGATGAAGTGCCGCCCCCCCCCCACACACAGCCCAAAACTATTTGAAAGTGGGGAAGAAGAAGGAAAGTGAGAGGAATGGAATGATGTGGGATGACAGGAGAGTGGTGATATGTTACTTAGTGGACAGTTTACTTGCCTTATACTTTACTGAACCGTGTGTCCTTTAGTAAAACACATCGGTTAACATGTGAGACTTTAAGCATGGATCATTGAGCCTTGCTCTAACCTAAAAGGAATCAGAGGTTCACACGAAACATCATTGCATTCCTCAGTGAAACATTTAGGAGACAGATAGACAAATATTTGGCACTGATGGTTATGATTCTGCTGAATGTGTCATTTAAGACGATAATGTATATAAAGGTACAGGAAACTTTATTTAAAATTCCATTATTCTGTTTATTATTTTTTTTATTTGTAGGTATATACATGATGCACTGTGCAAAGCATTTGACATAAGAAAGGCAGTGGAAATTATACAAACAATCTCAAATGCCCGCCCCAAATGAGGCCTCTACGCTGACACACATTCCTAGTAGATTATTCTACTTATTACCTGGCAGTTGTTGTCACTGGGTCGACTTCCCAGAATTGTATAATCTATCCTCATGGGATAACAAATGTCTGTGCCGTGCCTCTATCTCTCAAACCGGATTTACTGGATTGCAACAGCATGCCCCGCTAGTGCAGCCCCTTGCATGTATTTAAGTCCGATCTGTTTTCAGTCTGAACACAGAGGAATCTCACAGCATTAAACTGTATATTTGAGCCAGATGATCCCCCAAGTAACAGAACCAGAAATACTACAAAGCCGTTTCAGTGTTTGCAGTTAAAGCGTGGTTCACTCCTAGAAGAGTGGAACTACCATGCTTGTTTGCAGTATGCGGTTTTGACTTTCCTGTACGTTTTTGATGAGTTATGTACTTTAATTTCCCCTTTAACTGCCACAGCGTGTTGTGCAACTGGGGAGGATATGAACGTGGAGTTGCAATTCTTCAAATTGGAAGTGGAAACAAACAGTGATGCAAAGACTGTCTGCTCTGCCTCAGAGTTTCTGGCAAGCACTCTACAGTTATTGTTTGCTGTGGTGAGAGATTGTGCACTCAGTCTGAAATATACAGTGAATTAGTCATAAGCACCCATCTATTTAACTACATGAGGTATTGAACTCCTAACCCTGACAGCCTTACTGCAGCCACTGATCTGAGCTCTACACAGTACCTCCCATCACCTCACTGTGGGTGCACAGGAAGCTCCCAGAAAGCGAGGTTTCTGGGAACAGCTCTGGTGGTTTTGCCTCGAAGGCTTCCCACATCATCACGCTGGAAGCAGAATCCAGCTAAATCAGTCTGTTTGGAAGACGTCGTGTTTAGTTACCTGCGGTTTTTCGGCGCAGCATTCTTCAGAGACTGCTGGGCATTTTGGAAGCCGGCCTTGACAGAGAAGCACGTTGTAAATATTGTCAGGGCAGACCGAGGTGGGCAGATGGTGAAAGGTTTTGTTTCAGCACTGACTTGAGTGGTTTTCCAAGGAAGAAAGAACACTTGTGGGATCCAGTTTTCTCCTTCCTTGTTGTTCTTCTCTCAACAAACATTACAACAGTGGTTGAAAGTTAGTAAGACAGCATTTGTTCTGGGTCCAAAAAGTGGACAGATTCCTTCACTGTGGGTTTGTGGTAAAGTAAATAAGTGAAAATCTAGGATCAGCATCACTGAGACCATCAGCTACACCTCAGCCTTAACCAATGTTAAAAAAAACCCACCAGCTGTTACAGTAATTATTTTAGAAGCTAAAATATGAATGGATACCACCCTTTAGCTGAGAACACTGGTTCAACCACAGTGGCCGGAAGCCTCTGCCCTGCTGAGGTGTCTTTGACCAATGAACTGTACTGTCTGTGGACTTTGGAGGGACAAATCATCCATCATTTTAATGTCTTTTCTTGACAAAAACAGATGAATGGTGCATTGGAAGAGCATTTAGTTCTCTATTTGAAGTCACTGTGTACACTGTATTGTAGCTTTTCATGTATGTTGCAATATCTTTTTCTGTTGTAAGCTGTAACTGAGTCTGTATCCAACATAATGAACAGACAATTGAATTAGGAAACTGGGGCAAAAACCGATATAAATATATATAAGGTCTCTGATTGTGGTTGTATGATGACTATCGTGTAACAGAGAATCTTTCGTTCTCTTCTCAGGTGTTCAGAGCTTCTTCACCTGGCTGTTCTTCACCCCAGGAAGTTGTCAGTCTACTCTGTTTCAGGTAACGCACATGCACACAAAATGCTTTTTCTATTATTCCCTCGGTATATTCTCCCACTTTGAATGAGCGTTTGTGACTGTTTCCATCACTTATGTTCCTTCAGAAACAAAAACTTGTTTTCTGGGATCTGTGTGTGTGTGTGTGCGCGTGTGCAGGCACTGCTGGGAACGTGGAGCACGGTGACCAGTACCAGCTGAAGTTGGTTTATGAACACAATCTGCAGAGAACAGCATGCAACATGACCTACGGCACCTTTGGAGGGGTCACAGGTATGCCAACACTTTATTTTGCTGTCTGACTCGTTTTTTGTAAATTCTTTTTCTCTTGCTGAGACTGTGAACATCTACATTCACATCCTGCAACCACTGCACAAACTCTAAGATTAAAACCTCTTCTTTGGCCTTCATTTACAAAAACAATGTCAGGCGTGTTAAGGATGTTGCAGAATAGATCAGGAGAGATATAAAAACATCCTGTTTTTGTATAATTACACCTCTTGGTAACACAGTAATGGCACACACATGCAGATCATTTGCTACAATGGACTCTTTATATCTACAAGGAACAGTGGGACTTCCACCATCTTACCAGGCGTGTGTGTGCACAGTTTTAAACCTTGTGCCGGTCCTCACTTTGGGCTGGAGCTTCAAAGTGCTGTTTGAGGCTTAAGACTTTGTTTTAGGAGCCGAGATTTAGTTTTAGGTTCAGTTTAGGGTAAGGATTGGGGTTATGCATTTAGTTGTGATTAAGGTTGAGGTTAGGAGCCAGGGAATGCAAGGCCAACGAGAGTCCTCACAAGAATGTAAGTACTGCACAAACGTGTGTGTGTGTGTGTGTGTATGAGCGAACATCTGTGCATGTGCCTTGGCAAAAGTGGTAACTGGCAACATTGGACAAATACATAAAACTATAAAAGTCTCTAAGAGGAGCGAAGGATGGAAAGAGAGAGAGAGGGGTCATGTAGCTGCTCTCTCTCTTCAGTCAATTGAGCTTTTGGAAAAACCAAGTAGGGGAAAGCCCTTGAGTAGTCTGCATCCAAAAAAAATACACACACAGACACACGGACACACACCCGGGGAACCCCCTTTAAAGCAGAGAAAATGGCATTTCCAAATAAAGGCTGTATTGTCAAGGTGTGTGTGTGTGTGTGTGTGAGGAGAGAAATTGCCAGACTCTGTGGCCTGGCATGATGGACCCTTCTTTCACTCCATGTTTAAAGAGTCTGTGTCTATGTGCGTGTGCGTGTGTTTGATTGATAGAAAGAACAGTGTGGGCTCATTAAAACCAATACCTTGGCCTGTGTTAAATGCACGTGCTTGGTTCCTACCATGAACCTGTGTGTGTGTGTTTCCACGTGCTGTGTTCTCTGGTAATACCACACTGTACAGCAGGTTTCGGAAATCTCACGCAAGCGCTTACACACACTCTTACTCTGCAGCAAACGCACACACACGTGCAGTCTTTGCTCCTGACATACAGACACACATGCATACATAAGGTCTGCTTAGACGCATATCTATACACACACACTCACAGAAATACATGCACACATATAGACTAACATGTCTCCTCTCCCTAATTGATGTCATCCTCTCCCCTCTTGCTCTTCCCTCTTGTCACCACTAGATGGCAGTGCAGGCCCTTGGAATTGCAGTTATTAAATTGAATGAATGGGATCCTGTATTGCCTCTTGTAGGGAAATTCCCTTTTTACCCACTTCTCAGGAGGGAGGTCAGAGTTCAGCTGCAGAACAGCACCGCTGGATCTGGTTCAGTGTCTACCTCAAGGACACTCCAGCTGTATGTATGGGGATGTTTGTAAGCTGCTCCTCAGCTGTGATGTGCGGCAGAACACCACACAACAATATTTCAAAAACTTAAAACTGCTTTTTGAAGTCAAATTTTAGGTTTTAGTAGTTTTTAATAAAGCAGGTTACTACCTTGAACATGAAGAATGTGCTTTTTGATCTAGATAAACCGACCAAAAAGCAGCATCACGTTAACAAGGTAAATAACCAACAAAGTAGAAATTAAGCTATAATAACAAAAAAAGAGAAAAGTAAAACAGCTGAAATAAAGAACTAAACAAAAATGGTGTCAAAGCATCAATTTACATAAAGACACGCAACTTCTAGATATAGGCCCTTTGGTAACCAAATATTACATTTTTAATGCATATATGAAAGTGTTTAAAATGAAAGAAATCACTTTGCTTTATCATCAGACCCAAGTAGATAAATATATACAGTATTAAACTCTGAAAAATGATCAGAATTTAGTTTATTATCTTGTCTATTGTGGTAGTAATCTTGCAATCCCACAGATTAATCTCACAACCGCTGCTTTAACTTGTACCTGTTTCCTGTTTCCAGTTTCCTGTTTGTGTATGCATTTCTTATCGTGTTGTAGTGTAGTAAATTTGACATTACACATATTTTTAATGTAAACCTCATAGATCAATGGAGCGCACTCACACACACTTGTAATGATTTGCAGACACATGCAAAAACGCAACAGTCATGTACAAACAAACATACAGTATATATCCGCAAAGAAACACATGCACACGTGTTTGCTGAGTACAGAGTGATGGTCATAGCTCTGAGGCCAGAGGAGGCGAATGTCCGAATTTGTGTGCAAGTGTGTGTGTGTGAGATATGTCTAGTAACCAACAGTTGCAATCTCAAGGCTCATACTTCATCACCCACTCTTACTTTTCATTATCTTATTTTAATGTGCAGATTATTGTTTCCACAAAATTAATGATTTTATTATTTTGTTATGTATTAAAGAGTTAAAGATTAGAATATTTCATGAAAGAAATTAAAAAATCACCCAATTTCGCCGAGGACAAAATAGCAGTTTAAGTAAGGTGCTCTAGTAAGAGGTGGTTATTACGATTTTTTTGGGGTGCTTATAGGAAATGGAACTTGAAATTATTTATGATATGTATAATTCAATGTCAAAATAATGGCAATAATATTATCTTCTCCGAGTTTTGAACTAATTAACTGATCATGTGCCAGCTCTAAAGGGTAGTGTATCTGCGCCGATATGGAAACCATTCATGGAATTGTTTGGGTTTTAGTCATGATTTCACAGTGCATTGCATGCTGGTGTAAGAAAGGGCCAACGATTAAGATATACTGTAAATGGAAGAGGTAGGTGTAATAATTATTTGATTGTTTTTTTCATTAGTAGTTTAATTAATTCACATGTATATGTTTTTTTAATCTACAGACTTCCTGTAAGTCTGCTTTCTATTCCTTTTAAGAAAACAGCATCAATGACAGTTTGTGGGGTCAAGATCAATTCAGTATATAGGTATTTGGCGAAAATCAGGAAACTTGAGAAATAGTTTGACTATTCTTTCTGTGTAGGTGTGTGTGTGTGTGTGTTGTGTGATGTGGGCTATCCTCAGGTTATAGGTACATTTTTTTTTTTTAGTACGTGAAAGACCTCCAGGTTTAACCCGATAAACCTGAATGTTTGGAAGAAGGTGAAGGTCAAGAGGGGGGGTGGAGATGGGGAAAATCGATACCTCCAACAAGGAGAGCGGGAAATGGGACGTTGTGTGTGTGTGTGTGTCCACCCCTTTCTTTGGCCATGTGCAAATATCATAAAAAGCAAGACATCAAAGGAAAACAAATCCTGGAGGGTAGAATTTGCCTCTGAGACATTTCCTGGTCTGCTACTGCCTTCACCCTGTGTGTGTGTGTGTGTGGTGTGTGTGTGTGTGTGTTGTGTGTGTGTTGTGTGTGTGCGCGCGCGATCAACATCCCTTGTGACATTCGGGAGCAAACGAGGGTGAATCTGACTTGACCAAATCGGTCGGTGGTGTTAAAACCACTGACCTTTGACCTCCCCCACAGGTCAGTGATCCAGGTCGAATCAGCTGTTGAAGGGGTTCTGATCCTTAAACACAAACCAACTGATCTTCAACAGAGATAAAAAATGTTCAAGCATGGCGTTTTTCATTTTCAAAACTCCACCTTCTGAATGAAAAACAACATTAGTTTTACCTTTACTGGATAAGTGTTTTGATTAGAGCTTCCATAATCATGTTTGATGATGAGGATGATGTAGCCATGAACATGAAAAATTGAGCAGCAAGGAGCAAGTTCACACAAATGAAAATATTTTAGTTGGAGCAGAATCCGCACAGTTATTTCTTAGATATAGACTCCAGCATTTACTGAGACATGAGTTAGCTGTCAGACATAATCAATTACGTACATTTTAGTTTTACTTCCCTCACTCTTTACCTTGCTTACATCTGCACCAATTTTTTTGGAATGTTTGAATACCAAACCTGCAAAGTGGGAAGTTTCACCCCAAGTTTTAGAGTGATCCAGGGTTCAAGCAGATTCAATTTAAACAACATTTAAGAAACGCTTTTTAAGAGCATTAAGAATGGCAATTTAAGACGCCCCATTTTACCATCCATACCCTGGCAGAAAAATGTATGAAAATTATGAAGGAAAATATTTGGTATTGTCGGTTTTGTTTTGTAATTGTTACAGGCATGATCAATACAACCCCCCCCCGCCAGACCTCCATTTATAAACCAACAGAAAAAGGAAGCTTTATTAGA